TATCTTTATTGATGTTTGCTTAAATATGATGCCAACATCAGCATTATTCAACAGAAAGTTACTTATTATTTTCTCTTAACATAAATTATTAGTTTCAATAATGCTTACCAAAATAATGAATTATTTTGAAAACTACTCATCAAATAATTAAAGGACGGGTGATTTGTATAAGCTACAATACAGTTCAGTAAAATAATTCAAAGGTATGATTTTTATCTGAAGAATATCTCGGAGATAATTGTGCCGAAATGTTCTGTGATATGATGTTTATTAAAACAGGTGTGTTTATCATTTTAGACAGCTTTTCCACCTAAAACATTTTATTGCCAGTATTTCTGTCATGTTCAGTTCATTGCGAAGGTTGCTAATGAAATAATAATTTTATATATAAATAAGTTGTATGCACAATAAAATAATTTTATTTTAATTGCTTCGGATTATAATTTTTCCTACATACTGCTTTGATGCGCGTGCAAATAATCCCGATATATTACATTAAATAACATTTCATTTCAGAATTGATTCTATGCAACTGACTGTTATGTTAGTTTAAATTTGATTGCTATAATAAATTATTAGATTATATAAAAACAGTACATACATGTACAATGTTGCTTGTATTTATTTTTTATGATCCGTGTGTAATATTTTTACGTCGATTTTCAACATATTGTGGCTCATAACTCGGCGTTCAATCCATCTTGCCCGCTCTCTCTGGATAACCAACTAGTAATTACCAATTCCTCTGCGAGTGACCAACTGCTTATCCAACTTGATTGGTGAGAGACAAATGACTATTTGATCCAATGTCCGCGAAAATGTCAAGAAGAAGTTCGGCCTAACCAGCTTCTTTTGAAAATTTTTGATTGCAATAATGAAACGTTGCTTTGTATTAAAATATTCCTGCTAGAGCTGAAAATACATATTGGTTTTTTGGACAGCTACAAATTTATAAGATATGAATAAAAATTGACTTAACCATGGATGAAATGTAAACATTGGAAAACAATATCTAAATGATAAATATGAAAATTATTTATTACAATATTTTGTTTCTTAATCAAAACCAAAAGGCATACAATTTTGTGTTTTTCTATGACAAAATGTGTGCTTAATTTGCAATGCTTAAGATGAAATTATGCAAAAAGCATAGCAAAGAAACTATTTGAATAATGAAGTGCACTTTCTTTGTTTTAAAAACAAAGGCAAATAGCTGATGTTTGTTTTCTAAACTAAAACTTGATTAGTTTATTAGACGTTTAAAAATCAAAAGAACGTGTCTCAAATAAGTAATTGTTTTGTTTTATATGTCGGTAAAATCTTTTCAATTTTTTTCAGTTTAAGACTCATGTACCCCATAAGCTAAAGCACAATCACATTTCAATCAAAATTAGGACAATTAATTATGGTAAACGAAAACGTAGGATGAACCATTGAATGCTTAGTTTAAACATATTTTATTTCGAACATTTTACACATACAAGATTTACATACAATGGTGAAATAATACAATTTATTACATGCTTTTCGATGGTTTATAGAAATATATCAGTGAATTAAAACTGATAATTTCACTGTTTGAAACAGTGAAATTATCAATTTGATAATTTCACTGTTTTGAATTTAAGCCCCTTACGTTGTTTCAGTGAAATACCAGCGTTCACAGAACTGGGTACCAACTTAATGACGTGACGTCGTAAATGACGTCACATTGTATAATTATTTGGCGCGCGTTTCATTGATTATTAGGTAAAAATGTCCTTTTTAACGTTTGATTGCATGTAATAAAAAGAAAATTTGTTTAGTTTAGTGTAAGATTGAAATATATTCACCTCGTGAACACCAAAAGTTCACATTTCACTCGTGGCTGCGCCACTCTTGAAATATACCTTTTGGTGCTCACTCGGTGAAATATATTCCGATCTTACACTGAACTTAACAAATATCCTCTATACAATGCTGAAAAGGGATTGAATGCTTCACAGTACAACTAACTGAAGTTTATATATACAACGTTACCAATTAACGTGCTTGCGGTTTCTTGGTGCTTGACTTTTATATGTTTCATTCACCTGTAAATATGACAAATAAATGCAATGCAAATAAAGGTTAAAAAGATAAACTATCGAGTCTTTCAAGGTGATGAAAGTTGCGACATTGTTCGACTATCAAGGTCTCGTCATAAGCGGAATCTTGCATTTGAAATTTACCATCACATCAGAGTTACCGCCTCGTATGAATCTGCAAAATACGTGTTTCTACCTTAAATTAATGAGTGCAGTAAACAGGTATTTCTATGATGAAAAACAAATTAATCAATCTCGTCGATGATGTCTCTGGTACGATTTAATAAAAGTAGCTATATTTTTGTCTGACGCCTCTTAAATGTTGAGAAAAAATACATTATGAAATAATGATATGAACAAGTTTTATACACAAGATGAAACCAGTAACTGTCAATTACATAAGTATGTATCAAATCAAAATAAAAAAAATATCTTATCAAAGTACTGACAGTAGACTTTTTATTGAACTGGTCTAAATTGTTGATTATGATTCAAACTCATTCAAGCAAGTGATGGAGTATGCTTATTTACATTTTTCAGTATCGACGGGGCAAATATAAAGAATGATACAGTTTTCCTTCATTTTTAGACGAAGTGCTATAAGCTTCAATAAATGTAGTCGTTGCCAATGTTCCATGCAATGGTAACAATGGATAAGTCATTCTATCGCATTGCAATAATATATACAAATAAATTTATTGGAATATACATGCTTTTTGACTTTATATGTAGTTACTTTCTACAGTTTAAAATCTTCTTATTGTATGCAATGTTTCTATTCAATTGCATTCTTTTATACACTACGATGATGTATTACGTTGTTGTGTTGATTTTTTACAGTAGTTTGTGGAGTGGAAATAAAATTTAAAAAATAATAAAGCAAGAAGTACAAAATTGAACATAGAAAGAACATACAGTGAACGTTTCATTGTTACTGTGTAATAACTTTTCTCTCTTTTCTAGAAAATGTATTAGAGACTAAATTATTTACTTCCTTCAATATCTATACTGCCTATTGTAATTTCCCTCAAACTTTGATTTAGCATATTCTGTATTAGAACAGTGTGTTCAACATTAAATGGCACAAATAATACAATTCGGAAAACTTTTATCTTTGATTTTTTTTCTGCTGTTTATGTTCGTGATACGCCATTACAAAAAATGTTTGATGTTAAAGCAGATACGATTGTCTAATTTAAACATAGATATTTATAACTGAGTGAAAATGGTGAAATAAAATTGTATAATTTTCTGTGAAGAAAATGGAAAAAAATATGAAATAATATTTATAACGTCATTATGCTTTATCTTGAATAAACTCTTATTTTTGCAATAAAAAAAAGAACAATTTATTCATCTTTTGCATTGATAATAAATTTATATATCTGTTGTCATTGATTTAAAATATTCATAATTTGTGATTTAAATGTATTATGACAAATTCTTAACTGTATTTCTGCCAACGCTTTAATAGTGAAATCAAATATAAGATTTTCGTTTTTGAAACAGTCTGGCATTTTATCATCAAAATAAATAATTCTTATTGACTCGTGAAAGATGTTAAATGAAAGAGAAATTGTAATATAATTAGATTGAGACTTTGTGTGTGCCGCTGTGTCGATGGAATATGATTATTCAGTTAAAACCGCTTTCATGATTAGAATAATTTGTTTCATATCGCGTTCACGCAGTCTAAAGACAAACTTGCATTCCAAATGATTAAAGCAACTGACATTTTGAATTATATTATGTACAATTTGTAAATATCACTTGATTATCGGTGTTTGAACCTCAACTCAGAAATATTTATTTGTTGCTTCTACTTAAATGTAGAATGTAGAACACAAGCAAATAACATGTTAATTGTGCATAAATAATTCAATAGCATGACTTTTCAAGATAGTTACATATCTAACTCCAAAGTGCCAATGAAAATATTTTTTCATCATGTTGCAATATTCCTATGTATGTTTCTTTTATAAACACGATTGCTTTGTATAAAGTCTGATATTTATCATCTACATGAACTCTTACCAATTTGTTTTGCTTTTCTTCATTAAATGAAAATGTCAAGAAAGCAAATGGACAAAATAACTTGATTTAATTCAGAATTTGGTTTTGAATCTGTTTGCTACATCTTCTTGTATTGAACATCTAGAAGAAATCACTCATGTACTTAAAAAATCAGAATGTATGTATTATACTTTAAAAGGAATAAGGTTATTTTCATTACATGCGGACAAAACAGATTTATATAAAGTTAGACATTCCTTTAGGTTGTAGAATGTATCAACGTTAAACGATTTAAAACATAAAAGTATGGTTTGCATGATCAGCAATTATTTACTATTCACTTGTTTTTGTCTTTTTAATTCCTTTCAGGAAATATCCACTGTTCCAAACTTTTCTAGAGTCATGCATGAATAACTTGTAAAATATGGATGCTTCTTGAAGAGTCTTTTCAAGAAAATCAAACTTAAGAAAAATGTATCAAGGGTCCAAGGAAAGAAAAACAGATTCACGATTCAAGCCAAGATGTACATGTTTTGTGCCACTAAAGAATGATTTCGCGACAGTTATCACCATATTTTTCCTGTGTGACTATTGCCGTAATGAGTATTTTTGCATGCTTTGACGTCATTTTGAAAATTACTTGGATTGTTAAGTGCTGTCTGCAATGTGTAAATTATATTCTTTGTTTCTTCACAATATTTTACTTTTAGATAATTTTTAAAATTTTCATGGAAATTTGCATTAATCAGGAGGCATGCTGCTTTAAATGTAAAATTTAACAATATTATTTCCTAGACAGATTTAGAATTCACCATATCCTTCTAATGCAAAATCAATCTAATTTGAAAACTTGAATTTGGAACAAATGAAAATATAATTATCGTCCAATGAGGTCAAATACAAACTTTAACAACATAATAATAATGGTTTATGTTTTTATTACAAATGTTATTATAACCATGATCTTTAAAATATTCACCAATCTTGTCAACGTTCATCAAACACAATATACAATTTGCATTTTTTTTTGAAAAATAACCTCTTAATTGTGTGCACAATTCATATTTGCTGCTAGTACTAATTCACCAATCAACGTGTTTTGAATGGTTTCCAAAGCGATAAGAAAATATGTTACATTTTTAATCCCGTTTATCATTATATCATTCTTTTTTTAAATAAAAATTATGAAATATATTAACAAGCAAATTCCATGCACATAAGTTCTTCTGACAGAAATCTTATCGTACTAGCATGCACTGTCGGCAGAATTTGTATGGAAGAGTAATCCTTGACGCTCGTAACTAGGTGAAGGTAATTTATCCGTTTGTTCAGATACACACACATTACAACACACTGGCTTCTTCCTGTCTTCTGTCCACAGTTTTTCACAACAAGTTGTCTGAGTTACTTCCGGAAGAAGGTGTTCCCTTTGAGGTTCACATTGCTCATCGCTTTGACCAGTTAATGAAAGACTTACTTGGGTTTGTATTGTATCAGATCGCATCACGTGACTTCTATCTGACGAGCCACTAGTTGTTGGTCGTGAAACAGTACGAGTGGTAAAAGGTCTAGCTTTACTACTGTAATATGACTGGTGAAGGCCGCTGGTTCTTATATTTAAATTACGTTTACGTCTACAGTGACATATTGTTTCCCGAAAAGCCTCTCGGTAGCGCTTAGACATCACATTATATAGAATTGGGTTAACAGTTGATCCAACAAAATAGAGTACACCTATAAAATATAAAAAATATATGTTCATAACTTAACACAATGGCATGCTTTTAATTACATTATTTAATGCATATGCCACCTGCATAGAAAGACATAAAATCCGCATTATATAACCAAGTTTGATTTTGCTGATGTAATAACTTAAAGTTAGGCATACATATATAGTAAAGGAGTTATTGTAGGTGTGTGCATTTAGATGTTTTACTTGTATGTATTTCGCTCCAATGTTATTGACAAGAACGGATCACACTAGGCGCCGCGTAACTGCTTCGTGAGATACTGTCCTGGCAAAATCTACAAAACTAAAATACAAGTTCAAAATCAAGATACTCCTTACAAATTCTTTTCTTGTCTTATCATTTTTATTTTCGTAACTATTTGTTTTAATGTACTCAATATTTTCATAAGTGAACAGTTGTGAACAGACATATTTTCTTATCGATATTTCAATATTTGAAACTTTACTAAGTATGTAACAATAACAATTTAGCTAAGATTTTTCGTAGTGCATCAAACGTTATAGTTTATTCTAAAACTGAAAGTTGGATTCTTTCTTTACTCCCAAACATGTTTGGAAAGTCGTATAAGAGAGTGTGTCGTTATTTGTGATAAGTCATTCTATTATAACCTATTTTGTTATATTTTCCATTACTTCTCTCAACCTTCTATTTATGTGAATGGTAGGTAATTATGTTAAATAAATATGTATTTTCTTAATATATAGCTTATCAAATGCGAAGCAGAATACATGTTTAGATTATCTGTAAAACTCGTCTATGACTCTAGTATTTAATTTTCTTGATCAAAAGCCTGACATAATGAAAAAAAATCACGAAGCAACACATTTAAAATATCAAAATATTTCAAAGTTTTGATCATAAGCCAGAAATGTGGTAAATTTATTTGTGCTTGTAGACTTTATTTATAGTTTTAAACCCAATGTGCTTCCATAGCCTCATAATTCTTTTCCTGAACTTGATATATGATGAATTCCCTTGCCAAGACATATATTGTTTTTCTGTTCAATCAGGAAAAAATAACAGATAGAAATACATTCATTAAAATCAGCATGGTTAAAGAGTCTGTATTACTTCCATTGTTTTATTAAGACAATTAACTAGATGCATTGGCATGTGGAATCAAGATATGATGTAAAAGCAATTTAAAGCACCTCTCTACATTACTTTGACATTAAATCTTGAAAAAGAAGAAACTTAATGTTCTTTAATTTTACATAACTTGAATGTCCACTAATATTTACTCATCTGAATACGATATACGTCAAGGATATGGATATGGAGCTGAAGGAATTTCATCATTTTAAAATGTTTGTTTGTTTTATTGGGTTTTCACACCGACACATAAAACATATGGCGACGTTTCCGCTTAACTGGTGGAGGAAGACCTCAGGTGCCCTTCCGTTCATTATCATAAATACGAATGGGCACCTGCGGAGAACCACCGACGTCCCGTACTGAATTTTAAGTAAAAGCAACACATGCTTAAATTCTATTACAATATCTAAAATTAATTAAAAACTACATTCTTTGTTATATTTAACTAAACTCTTTGCAAACGAAAAAAATTAATACAGCTATTAAAAAAACGAAAATATTTATAATCGTTTAAATATAAATGCTTTATAATCTATTTGCTTGAGTAGTTGAAATTGTATTAAATATCTTTAAAGTGTAATTAGATAATTTATTTAAATATTTACCAGAAATGTAAAACAATGCGCTCTGTATATCCAGCAACAACGGCGTCCAGACCCTGTTATATAAAGTGAGCAATCTTTGCGCGTGAAATGGCGCCCAGCACGTGAAAAAGGCAACAACAACTCCCACTAAAAATTGAAAACAATTGTACTATTTAGTTGGTAATGATATCATTTACATTGAAATTGGCATAAGTTCCGTGCCGTTATTAGCTTTTGTGCCCGCATTTAAAACATTATACTGTTACTTTTATGTATATAAAGAACGCTGAGCACTTGCAAACTATGTATCCTATCAAAATATATTGCATTATGTGTATAGTGGTACCTGGTAAAAAAACAAAAACAGTTACATGTGCATATTAAATAAGTAATCTAAATATTTCAAACTAAACAGGGCAATAATAATTACTGTTAACATCAGTGTAAGGGTTTTAATATTTCAGTTTAAGACCAGAATAAGTTTAATGGTAACACCCTGGGATTGGAGTTGTTAGGGGTCCCTCGTAAATATCCGTCTGCAAATTGTCAGTATCTAAATATATCTGTATGATACCATGCTACTGCGAATGTAAGCATTAAAACTTCAAGTGGAATTAAAACAATCATAAATCATTAAACTATCTCTGACTCACTGTTGACAAGAAAGGTTTATAATTGCCAACACAAATATATAAATAGTTGGTCTGTTCACAATCTTAATTATATTAGGCTGAGCTTGTATTTTTAAATTGATAGACATTATCATTAAGACTTTAACGTATTCATTACTCACCAAGCATTCGAAACACAGATTTTCCTGATTGCGAAACAGGCGTTCCCAGGTTTCCTTGGGTTTCCTGCGAGGCAACTCGTTGTAATGCGGCATGACGCAAAGAGATAGCAATCATCAAATATAACACAGCCAATAAACTCATTGGAAAAACAAAAAACAGGAAGGTTGAAAATTGGAAAATATAAACCATTGTTGAATGGTATCTTTGTGGCATGTTACAAATTAATGACTCTGCAATTGGAGTTCCATTGTTGTGTTCTGCGTCAATGTAATAAAATAGCTCCGTATGCAGCGGATATGGTAAAGCACAGACTAATGATATGAACCAAATTGCAGATAAAATAATGATGCTTCGAGACAAGTTAGCAAATTTATGAGCCATCAGAGGGTGACATATAGCCACATATCGTTCGATAGTAAAGGCTGTGATAGTCAGAACCGACGCATATGACGTCATTTCCTGTAGCAAAGCTTTTATATAGCAGAATATTTCTCCAAAACGCCATGGGTACGACTCTAAGATAGAATATGCCTCCGAAGGTAAAGCTGAAATGGAAAGAATACACAACAAATTGTTTTATAATTAAACCACTGATTTAAGTACATTAAATATGAGTGTGGCCTTTCAAAACGAATATTTTGGTAAAAGTATGTCAATTTTAGTTAGCCTACATACTGCTCTGTTGAAACAACGAATTTACAAGCATTTTATTCAGAAGTGTTGTTAGATGATACAGATAAAAATATTGTAAGTTGTTTTCTTTTTTTTTAAATAAATAATACTACTTAGATAGGTCTATAACAAAATTCTGGTAAAACACCTAAAGCAAGGTTTTAAAGAAAAATGTAGTTTTATTGATAATTGTCTATATGAGACACTAAAAAATCTATAAAAAACAAATCGAACCTGCAGCATTTTTAGTTTTGCCGTTTTGTGGCCTTTTTTATTACTAGGGCTTCCGTGTTCTTTATTGTTTTTATCTAAACCATGAATGGCTGGATGTCTTTATGTAACATGCCAATCTTTCATTATCTGTCCGACATCAATTTTTTGGACATTAAGATGAGAACATAAAAACTAGGAAGCCAACAATAAAGAACCTGGTCAGACCGCACATACTTTGGTGGCAAATTTCAATCACTCCACGTAATGACTTAATGACAATTTCGATCCTCAAAAGCAAAGAAAACACATTCAAAATAGATTTTGGCTGTTTATAAAAGGTAACAAATTTTGTTATATTTTAATTTAGTTACATTTTATTGTAATAGATGCACAATAAACATTCCTTATAACAGATGACCATCATATTATTTAAAAGGTGTGGTACAACAGCACCATATGAAACTTTCTATATATGAAACGAAACTGAAGTTTTTATTACTGTTTCCTTAAATGTAACACATATCAGTCAACCGAACGCTTTTTATAACAATTCGCTAACAGGGCGTTTGGTTCTTGGATTACACTATAAGAATTGAGCGATAATTAGAATGCGACACTGAAAGAAATACTAGATATTTTACCGCCAGATATAAGTTGCATACGGGCCTTATATAAACTTTTCTATTCAAGAGCCATTTTTTCCTGTTGAAAACTGATGAGCGCTCCGCACTGTTAAAGATTATTTTTCGCTCATAATTTACACCATAATAATGCAAATATGTAGAAACATGTTTGAATATTGATGATGATAGTAGGAAAATAAAAGGTTGTAGTTATACTTATATCTATACAATTCATTTGTGTCCCACACTTTTGTTGTTGTTGTTGTTGTTATTCATATTTTTTCCTATTTCAATTCTATTTCTACTCAGTTATACTTCATGTATAAAGGGCTCGCCTATATAAAATATCTTATAATTATAATGATTTTGAATTAATGTAAAAACATTGATATTGGCTTTTTGCAAAATAAGAAGAAAGAAAAACATTATCTGGAATACTTGTTTTCAAAATATTTTGAACTCTAGTTAAAAAGAATTGACTTTATTTGAATGGAAACAATTAGTCATTTAAAATGTTACTGTCTGTTACACACTACGAGTCATATTTCTAAGCTGGACATACAACGAAAATGTCAAAACAATAATCGACTTTTAATATTCATGTTTTACATAACGTTTTACATAATTGCCGCTGCTGAATGTTAAATCTGTAACCAAATCATAGAAAAATGCAGCAATTATAATTCCACGGAGATTTCGAATAGTTTTACGTTCTATAACAACAAGACATACCTATTAAGTATGAAACTATTACTGCGAAATGGAGTTCTACGAAATGAAGATTTGCGTTTTAGTTTTATATGATAGAGATCTCTTACTTTTCATTATATTCAGTAATATGTTTTTGATGGGAAGTGAATTAAAAGATTTGCGTTTAATTGCTTTTATATCTCTATATATTAACCTTCATAATATGCAATTTGAATTATACTAAGTATGTTTTGATAAAAGATATAACAAACGTTTAGATCTTAGAATGTTTCCAGGATTGTTGGATTTTGAAAGAACTTTAATAAATATATAGAAAAAACTAAATCCACCGTTAGCATGTGTAACCTTATAATGAATCAAAAAACTTTAAATTACACGCCATTGATACGAACTTTAATATGTAGCTACAGTTAGGGTCTTTTGCGAGTCCACATATTTTCCGTAATGTTCTGAACAATGTTGAATTACATATTTATACTTTATGCAAACTATTTTTAGGAAGACCATCATGATTTAAAAATATTTTCTGTTATTTTAAATTCTTCTAAGTATCTTATCAATCTTTCTTATTTATCCTATATATATTGCGATGTTTTAAAACTTTGTGACTGTGGTATTGTATATAAGTATGAGACAAATCAGTATAAATCAAATCAAATCAAGTCAAATCAAATAAATATCCGTACACATCGAAAGTTTAACCGTTAGCTAATTGAGACATTTTTCAATCATCCCAACAAGCAATGCTTCACTGACAAGAGAAATTTAAAATGTATAGACTTAGCATATAGGTAAGAGACTTTACATCTCTTAATTAACCTCTGTCCAGAATGAAATGGTATTTTTATGATAGAACGGTGTCTATTGGTATCATTGTTGTCTGGGTAAAACAGCAGACGATAATTACCTTCACATTGTTTACAGCATATCTCGGATGTTTCCTGAAGTTCATGGGAAATTAATTTGCGTGATGATTGTTTTGAAATGATCTTGTTGATAGTCAAATAATATATTTGTTTATCACTATAAATAAATCACATTTTAATAAATTCTAATTTTTAATTTCTAAATTTTAATAATTCAACATTTGACTAAAAACCTTGCTTTACACATTTTTCTCGTATATTTAAGTATGAAGAATACTTGAAATCTTGAAAAATTATTATCTTAAAAAATTAGATAAATCTTTTTGTTTCCTTTGCTTTTCTTTGCATCAAATATTGGTATGATTATAGTTATTTGAGTAACAATGCTATTTTCTTACATTTTGTCATTTGTATTCTTTAAAATATTTTATTTTGGCATCTTGTTATAATTCCAATAAAACCTGCATTGGGCATATTGATAGCCTATCGTTTGCCTTTTTGCTCTTATTATAAGCAATTGGTATAATATACAAACAACTACACTGGCCATTCAGATGAACTATCTTTTGCTTTTTGCCTCTTAAGTAATTGGTATAATTATAGTAATTAAATAATTTGTATGCAAGTCAAAATGTTACATTTCTCTATTGTTACGACCTTTCCAGACCTTTAACATCTGGCTTGCTCTAGAACCATTAACATACCATTAGTAAAGCATTATTAATTACATGTTTGACCTTTGTAAACAATACCAAAGTTGTTGATTTTCGAAGCATACTGTGCCTTTAACAATACATGTTGATGAATGTCTTATTCTTTATTAACATATAGGATTTTATGCGCCTTTCTTGAATAGGTTTTTCTTTCTCTTAAACCGGACTTCAGAGTTGTTGGATAAAGTGAGCGATTTTTCACTATACAAATTGCAACCCTCTAGAGATTTTCGCTTTCCGTAGTTCTTACAAAAGTTTAACATAATGATTTTCCTTTACAGCGGTATAAATCCTCTATAACATGCTACAGATATACATGTTATGTAGGCTCAAAATTTCTTTTATGTATAACCACTCGGTGATTTAAATCGAGTATTGTAGTCATTTGTAACAAATGTATCAATGATATCATCGTTAAATATACACAACTAGCTTTTAAACAAACGTATACTAGAATTTCAATTTACAATGTTTGTCTTTATTTCTTTTTTCTTTTTTTGTGAATTCATTTTCAATCAGCTTACTACATAGGTTTTACCATTTGAGCATCATGTAACACAGGGCGAAGCCTGGGTTCCAGTCAGTCGATTTTTTATGTGCCTCTGTTCGGCAAATCGACACTCGAACGAGTGCCAAAAATATCAACGCCTGAATCCCAGGCTATACATTGCAGACTCTTAATAAAAGATGTAATATAAATAAAAGATGTCGCAATTTAATGAATTGATTTTCGTAATTCGCCGTTAAAAAGACTTCCTTCATCGCATACTACTCATGTCATGAACAATATTTATTGAACAATCATCATACACGAAAATTATTCACTGAGCACTCCCCACAAATGAAATATATTTAATGAACAAACCTTACAACATGAACTACATTCATTGAATACTCCCCACACATTAACACTTTCCACAGAGCACTCCTGACACATGAACACAAGTCACTGAACAATTCTGCCACTTGGATATGAACACTCCTGATATTCTGGACACTTTTCAATAATATTCATTACAGCATGAACAGATGTCAATTAACATTTCTCACATCATAAATTTATTCCTTTAGCACTACTCGCATCATGAATATTACTCATTGAGTACTATGTGAACATTGTTTACTAAACACTTATTTACTTAGCAATAACACACTAACCTTTACTCACATCATAACCATTATTTACTGATTTTTACTTACGCTGTTTATCATTTCAATTGGAATGTATGCAAAATGAAATAAAGAAATATACTCAGAACTATTATAATCATTATCAAAATCTCGTTTTGGGTTAAAATCATTTTTGTGTAATTTTGCATCATTTAAAATTTTTTTCCTGGAAGAACGGAGTGAAAAGTACTTGTTTAAGACCTACATCAAATGATCCACACATTTCGGACACATATTTCCCGTCCTTTCTTGTCAAACATGTCGGTGAAGTATTTAAAGTCGCACGAGCGACTGCCTTCTTTGTGTCTTTTACGCAAGTGATGATTGTGGCCGTGTGTTGTTTCCTGTACACAACTCTTTCTTAGACTTTATTTTCTTGGACTCTGCCATTTTCATGTTGATGACGAAACATAAACTGAAACCGCTCATACAGTTTTTGATAAAACTAGAAGATATAGTTTTTGTTAAAACTATCAGATAAGATTTTTTTCAGTTAAAACAGTTTTTTTCCATTTACTGCGATGTGTGGTTGACAAGGTAGCTATTATACATATAATGCACGAATAATTAATTAAAG